TTCGGGGCTTCTCAAAGCCCCCCACAGAAGATTCCAGTGTTTAGCCACAGTAGAGCATTACTGATTCAGTTTCCTAAACTGGACGATTAGCAGAACTCATGAGAGAAATTGAGTTTATTCTGAAAAGTTTATTCTGAAAGTTTATTCTGAAAAATGAGTTTATTCTGAAACTCAGTCGCCATTCTTCGTTTTCACATGCCGTGATGGAATTATCATCGGAAGCATGTTAGGCATTTGCACTCAGGCTTGTCATCTTCATTCCAGAGCACCTGACTATGTGGTCACATGTGAGTATCTTCATCAGAGACCCGCTCTCCATGCCAGAGTCCTAGCCGTGAAGCCGGGCTTCCTGGGGGACGTAGATACTGAGCTGCCGCCGAGGCCACCCGCTGGGTACCCACACTGGGCTGCGCTCAGTCCCACCTGCCACCCGGTTTCCAAATTTCTTTTTTCCACTGGAAGAGAATTATAAATATCAAGGGACAGGGGAATGTGGAATACATTACCATTTCCTTTCTTTTTTTTTTTTTTAATTAAACTACATTTTTAGTCCAACTTAAAACAGGTTATAGTGAGATAAGTACCACAAGGCTGTTTGATTTTGTGAAAGGTCTGAGATACATAGAAGCATTTCTTTGTAAGACCTTGAACCTCATCGTTCATTCATGAAGAACATTTTTATTTTATTTTCATTCTTTTTTGAGACAGGGTCTTGCCCAGGCTGAAGTACAGCCCCACAATCACAGCTTACTGCAGCCTCAACCTCCTGGGCTCAAGTGATCCTCCTGCCTCAGCCTCCAGAGCAGTTAGGACTATAAGCGCATACCACCACATTCCACTATTTTTTTTTCCCTAGAGATGAGGTCTTATGTGTGGCCCAGGCTAACATTATTTTTATGTTATCCTTGCTCTGACTTGAAATCCCACTGTTGGTTGGGGATCACTCTTCTTTGCTTTAATGAATGTACACTTTGTCCTTTAGGAACATCTAGATGATCAGAATTCATAAATATCAGAATAGGTGTATTTTAAAATAATGTTGGTGTATTTTAAAATAATGTTTCTGGTCATATATGGCCATTGTGAGCTCCTAAAAAATACACGATCATGTAAAGAATTTCTTATTAGCATTTTGATAAAAATTACACATAATTCTACCACTCAGTGACAAGCATTGTTGGCTTAGATTTTAGCTGCTTTCTTTCTAGAAATAGATCCTATAGTTGCCTAGTTATATATGTAGATATTTAAACATTATTTGAGGTTATAATGACATGCAGTTTTGAATGATGTGTTATTTAATGTGTCATAAGCATTTTCCTGTCATTAAAATCTCCCAACCTTTTTTTTTTGCAAGATGTCATTTGTATGGATGTATTTGAATTTTCTAATTTTTCTCGATGTGACATCCATTTTACTTTATACGTATTTTTTTACTTTTCAAATTATTTTTTGCAAATAGCTTCCTAGAATTTCTGGTTCCAAGGATGTGTGTACCTAGCTGTTCATGAAAATGCATGAATGCTAATCATTCTAACGCAGTGGCCACGTGGGAATGTCACCCAGGATGTCTCCAAGGCAGTGGAAGAGAGAGCCGCCAGGCACCCTCGTCATTAGGAAGCCTGGCCCCACTTCACCCAGACTGCCCGGCTGGTAACACCTTTCCCTTTTGTTCCCAATGGGTTTGCCTCCAGGACCCCGAGATGCAGTGCCTGCTGCTCTCAGATGGGAAGGGCTCAATCCACCCGAACCACGTCGTCATTCTCCCTGGGGACGGCGGGAGTGGCACGGCCGCCATCAGCTTCACAGGAGCCTTGAAAATTCCAGTAAGTAAACATGCCCAGGAGGAGTTTCAGAAGTTTCAGAAAGGGCTGCTGCGCTGGCTGTGGGAAGTCTGGTCAGTTGATGATTAAGCTTACAAAGAGATCTGTGGTTATGGAACCCGGGGATTCGAATCCGTAGCCGAAGCCGGACGCTGCACACTGGTAGCTTCAGGACTGAATATGTCTGCAGTGATACTTGGTTTGCCTCATACCATGTTGAAATTTTTTTTGAAATTCGTTTTCTTCATTTAGAAATTCAGAAGGTTCGTAGAAAAATGGGGCTCCCTGCCTTCACTGGAAAAACAGAAAGCCTGGCGCCCTGGGCCTGCCCCCACGTGACAGGTTGGGGAACTGAGGCCCTGACTACTGTGCCACCTGGCCCCTGTGGCCCTGCCCCTCCCTCCCCAGTACACTTGCCCTCCCACAGGCCTTGAGCGTGAGCCCATGGGAGGCACTGTCACTGAGTGCCGTGGCCTTCACAAGCCTGGCTGGATTCTCTTTCCCTTTCAAGTGCCTTTGGGCCGGGCACGGTGGCTCACGCCTGTCATCCCAGCACTTCGGGAGGCCGAGGCAGGCGGATCACCTGAGGTCGGGAATTCAAAACCAGGCTGGTCAACATGGCAAAACCCCGTATCTACTAAAAACACAAAAATTAGCCAGGCATGGTGACAGGCGCCTGTAATCCCAGCTACTTGGGAGGCTGAGACAGGAGAATCGCTTGAACCCAGGAGGCGGAGGTTGTGGTGAGCCAAGATCACACCACTGCACTCCAGCCTGGGCGACAGAGTAAGACTCTGCCTCAAAAAAAAAAAAAAAAAAAAAAGTGCCTTCAGTGCCTGATTGCCCGTGCGTGGTGAGCAGAGGATGCCAAGAGTGAGAGGGAGGATGCAGGGACCAAGGGAAGAACAAGCAGCACAGGCGGGAGAAACCTTGGAGTCAGAATCTGGACCGGGCTGGTCCTCGCTGGCACTGCTGGCCTTGCCTCCAGACTAGAAGGGTGCCACCGTGCCCCGCAGTGGGTGATCAGTCTTGTGGACGAGCTGACTTGGAGCAGATGAGCGGGACGGGCACTGTAAGGAGATTTCTTGCTGCTTTTTCAGTTTTTATTACATTCAGGGACTCCCTCAGCAGAGAATCTAAGGAGCCGTGCGCAGGGTGTGGAGAGGCTGTGTTCTTCCGATGGGGGCAGAGAGCTGAGAGCAGGGGCACGGGAGGGAGACCAGACCCTGCCGTGTGGGCTGGGCAGGCTGTCCGGGGGGACTGTCCAGGCCGTGCCCTCCAGCACTGACAGCCAGAGCACCACGGAGCAGACACAGCTTTCACTTGCTGACACGACCTAGAGAAAGGCAGAGGGTCAGGGGCACAGGCCCGAGGCCCCTCAGCAGGTCAGGGCTGGAAGCACAAGCAGTGCAATCCAGACCTCAAAATCATATCACAGAAATTAAAGACTGGGGAGAACCTGGACTTCAGAACAGAAAGGATTCCAGTGTCCAGGAGAAACTGGGCCTGCAGAGGCAGACCCTGGGCCGGTGTTCAGCCAGAGGAGAACGTCCCAGCCCAGGCTGGACACCAGTTCATGGGGAAAGGGCTGTGCATGCTGGCCTGTGGAAGCTGCTAGGTTTAAGTCAAAAGATTTGTTTTTAATTGTGTCCTTAATAAAAACTAGTGACCTTTTCTGCTATACCCTCCTCTGTAGCTACCCCCAAATACTTGTACTAAAGGAGGGTGCACACTAGTTATAAAAATACAGGTTTTTATGTAGTGGAGTTATAGACAGTATGGGCTTCAGAGGCCGGCTCAAGCCTCCTCCTGCCACCGCCAAGCTGAGTGTTCCGGGCAAGTGTGGCACACTCTGAGCCTCCATGTCCTCATCTGTCACATGGGCTCCATCCCTGGGGTAATACCGTATGTTGTTCTGAGGATGAAGTGAGGTCATTTAACAACTACTAAGCACAATGCCAGGCCCGTGAAAGGCATACGGTAAATTACACGCACACATCCTCATCAATTGTGAAGACATCAACTCGTTTCATTTTAGAATGACTTGGCGAAGTGGAGCGCTGGGTTCCCCTGGCCACCGTTTTGGTTGATTTTCAGTGCACAGACAGCGGGGGGATTCAGCACCACAGTGTTACTGGATTTCTCACTCTGAATTTTCAGATGGCCTCTGGAATTTTTATCTCACAAGTGCCACCTCTTTCTGAAGGTAGACATAAAACAAACACAAACAGGCATTTTACAGAACCCACCACTCGATTTCCTCACTCGTACCTACGTGTCTCTTTTCGTTGTTTTCCCTGGTGCGGACTGGTTTGTAGTACTCACAGGCGGGATGCAGTAGCCTGTGTGCCTGTGTGCGGACAGAATGGTCGGAATTGTTTGATCTGTGTGTTTCCAGATGGCTTTATAATTTACAGTGATTTCAGTTCCAGGGAAGAAGAAGGAACCATTCAGTACTCAGTCCACTGCGCCCGGCTATACAAGAACTTCTTTAATAGCTAAGTTTTCCAGCCGATGTCCTATGAAAATCAAACCCGTACATGTTTTCATTGACTCTACTCTGATGTAAAGACACTGGGTTTTGATCCTAAAAGGTAGTCTCCATTGGCCGGGCGCGGTGGCTCAAGCCTGTAATCCCAGCACTTTGGGAGGCCGAGACGGGTGGATCACGAGGTTAGGAGATCGAGACCATCCTGGCTAATATGGTGAAACCCCGTCTGTACTAAAAAATACAAAAAACTAGCCAGGCGAGGTGGCGGGCGCCTGTAGTCCCAGCTACTCGGGAGGCTGAGGCAGGAGAATGGCATGAACCCGGGAGGCGGAGCTTGCAGTGAGCCGAGATCCGGCCACTGCACTCCAGCCCAGGCAACAGAGCAAGACTCCGTCTCAAAAAAAAAAAAAAAAAAAGGTAGTCTCCATTTCAAAATTCAGAAATTTCATAGATAAATAGGGCTTTCTGTCTTCACTTGAAAAGCAGAAAATCTGGCCACACTGGGCCTGCACCCCATGTGACAGTAGAGTAGCTGCAGCTGTGACCCCACCCCTGTCAGGGGTCCTGCCCCTCCCTGGTGCACCTGCTGGGGTGAGTGCCCCACAGTTCCCGCATCCTCACTGCACCACACAGCAGTGCAGCACCCTCCCCACTACGTGTCTGGGGGTGCTAAAGCCAGACCAAAGACAGGATGTCTTTATGGGAGCGAAGTCATATTTAACTCTGTTGCATATTTACACACACCTGCTGGCTCCACATTTGGAGAAGACACCCGACCGCGCTCTCTTTCAGGGCGTGATAGAGTTCTCGCTGTGTCTGCTGTTCGCCAAGCTGGTCAGCTATACTTTCCTCTTCTGGCTGCCCCTGTACATCACGAACGTGGGTGAGTATCCGCTGCTAGAACACGTTAAGTTCCGCACACTGACTGCGGTCTGGACTCTCTTCTATCTGCTGATTTCTAGAATCTTGGAAACACAAGGTCACGAAGGGTGATTTGAGAGGCACACTTTTCAATCAAGTACTATGATGAAACATAGGCTAAAAAGAATTCAGATATGCAAACTGTATTGCCATAATGGTAACCTTTATGGGGCTTAACGGTTGACACGTTCTATCCCAGCTAGGGCTACCAGTTCATGAGGTACTTCCTGCTCTGGGGCCGCCTGCGTTTAAATGTGGGCTACACTGAACTTTGGATCATAGCAGCCAGTGAGCAGAAGCAAGGCCTCTGGGGACCTGAGAGAAGAAATCCCTGATACTCTGACCTGGAAATGGCTTCTGGGAGATAACTTCTCATTTTTGGCAGGGCCAACAGTTTGCTTTACGTTTCGGAAGCCCCGCGGTGGCTGCAGCTCTAGATTATGAGAAAACGTGCCAGTGAAATAGTAACATGCTCCCCCGTGTCATGTGTGACCACAGGACAGACGAGGGGATGAAGAGTACTTAAGGGAAGGGGCTGTTGAGTGGGGAAACCAGAACCCTGGCTGAGAGGAAGTGGGGATGGGCCAGGAGCACGTGGAGGGCTCTTCACCCAGGGAGCCAGAGAGAGTGAGAGGAAGGAGAAGACAAGAAGACACCAGGCCGTCAGGAAGGGGCAGGATCCGGCGATGTCTCAAAGAGGAGGCCTTTGAGAATGGGGGAGGCCGAGGAGCGCAGACCACCTTTTCTGGGGATGCAGATCCCACCAGCGGGGAATGCTGGCAGCACGAGGCTGGAGGCTGAATACCCCAGGAGGGAAGTTGAGGAGGTGGTGTGGGGACTGTCCCACAGCCTAGCAGGGACAGGGCCTGCCCAAGGACCAGTGAGTGGGGAGGCAGCAAGGAGCACCCTCAGATCCTGAGGTTCTTTCCCTGCCTCGTGACCCCCGCCTCACTTTGGCCGGTGAGCTGCACACAGCCTGGGCCTTCTTTCTCCCTTCTTCCCCTGTGGTTGCAAAAGGGGCGACATTCTCAGGACTTGAGTCTTGAACTGCTGGCATTTCCAGTTTGTTTGAAAAAAGCAGTTTCCTGTCCGTGCCATTGATGATTCGGAAAGGCCGGGTTTGACCCGCAGCCCCAGATGCCGCCCAGTCTCCTTTCTCACGCACGGCTGGCTCAGTCCACCTTAAAGCCCAGAACTTGTACAAAATCTAGTGGAGGGCACCCTGAGCTGGTGCTGGGAGGCCTCTGTGTCCTCATCTGCAGCTCTAAAGTCATGTGGTCAGACAGCACATGTGACAGGACGCTCGAGCATCCAGGCTCCTTCCACACCCCCACTTCTGTCCTGTGTTAATCTAGCTTCATGGCGGAGGGGCCCCGGGGGGCCTCTGAACCAAAGGTGGGATACTTAGACTGAGCAGAGGAAAGCCACGGTTTTTGGTTAAGAGTATTTTCATCCTTTCTATGTTACTTGTTTTTTAAATCTGAGTTAACTGCTAATTGCTCCTTGGTGTCAATCAATCTTATGGAACCGGAGTCTCGTGCATGGATCCTGTTCTGCCATGGTGTGTCACTGTGATGCATGAAAGAGATCCTCATTGTTTCACACTCCATTGTCATTTTAATAGATCACCTTGATGCCAAGAAAGCTGGGGAGCTCTCCACCCTGTTTGACGTGGGCGGAATCTTTGGTGAGTTCATTAAGACCTGTTCTGCTGCAGCAATAATTTCACAAGGCGCATGATCCCTGAGCTGATTCGCTGCTCAGAGGGAGCAGGGTTCCCCAAGGTCTCCTATCACCTGAGTGGACCCAGCCCAGGAGGGTCAGGCTGTCACCTGGGAGTGGTCTCATGGTCTCCCCTTCCTCCGCAGGGCCCTGACTCTGCACTTGAACAGCTTCCCTCAGAAACAGCATGCCAGCTGGGCTCAGGGGCTCATGCCTGTTATCCCAGCACTGTGGGATGCCGAGTTGGGAGGATCGCTTGAGCTCTTCTTGTTATGAAGACCAACCTGGGCAACATAACAAGACCCCTCTCTACAAAAAATAATAATAACTGGGCGTGGTGGCTCGAGCCTATGGTTCCAGCCTTGGGAGGCTGGGATGGGAGAATGGCTTGAGCCTAGGAGGTTGAGGCTGCAGTGAGCCGTGATCATGCCATTGCACTCCAGCCTGGGTGACAGAGTGAGACCCCATCTCAAAACTAAAACAAAAAAAAAAGCAGCAGCATGCCTCCTGGGTAGGTGACAGACTGGCCACCTTAGTACCTTGATAGGTAAAGGGGCTTCAAGACTGGCCTAAAACCTGAACTCACAGATGTCTCCTAGACTCTCACATCTGACCACAACCAATGGAGGCCTGTGGGGAGATCAGGCCTGTGAGAAGCCTGCCTGCCCGTGATGCATGGAGAGAGGGGCTTGGGAAAGGAGGAGGCCGTTCTCTGGGCTCCTGCAGTTCTGCTTCCTCCCCGTGGGCTCATGCCCTGGGACGTCAGCGCCTGAAGCCCGCCTCTCTGTTGCAGGTGGGATCCTGGCAGGTGTGATCTCAGACCGACTGGAGAAAAGGGCCTCCACCTGTGGCCTGATGCTGCTGCTCGCAGCCCCCACGGTCAGCCCTGCTGCCTTCCCTGGGCCCCAAAGCCTGCAGACAGTTCTGCACTGTCCTCCCCACCAGCCAGCATCCTCTCCTATCTGTCCCATGCTCCACTTTCCTGACAAGCCCACTTCATTCCCTCTCATGCCTCCTATCCCCTGACCCCTCCCTCTGCACCTGCGGGCCTCCACCAGGCTCCCTCCCCAACATGCACAGCTGCTGCTGGTTCAGCAGGGGCTGTGCGCAAGCTGCTCCTCGCTTTGGGGTGCCCCCTTGCCCCAGACAAGCTCCTGCCCATCCTTTGGGATCCGCGATGCCTCCACCACCTCTTAGGCATCGTTGACCCCTCTCGTTGTGACACATGGTGCATAGCACTTTTCAAGCATTTCGTAGCTCCTGACCTTGGGCGGTGACATCCCCCCCTGTGCCCCAGTTCCCTGATCTGGAAAATGGGATGTCAGTAGCACCGTCTTGACGTGGGTTAGAAACAACGCACATCCTTACTGTTTTTATCTTCGTAACATTAGAGGTAACAGGCTTGTCGGTGGACGCTGTAGCTCTGCACGTCTGCCTCTCCAGTAGCCCCAGAACAAGGGCTGACTTTCAGCCATCTTGGGGTCCTGGACATGGCCCAACACAGACCCTGAAAGAATGCTGAGTGAAGAAATGTCTGGGTGGGCCCCTTGCTGCCACCGGGGGTGGGAAGCCTAAGGACTTGGCAGTCAGACTCTCAAATCAAATCAGGAGCTCCGGAACGCTGCCCTTGGCTGGGGATGTAGAGTGGGAGCACCCTGCAGATTTCCCCAGGTCGCCCAGAGTGCTTGGTCCAAAGCCCTCGTGGTGGGGACAAGGCCCAATGCCTGAGACGGGAGGGGGCGTGGCGTCAGTCTTTTTCAGGGGTTTCCACCCTTGGGATGGCTGCCTGAGAATCACCCGCCGGGCTTTTGAGAAGTAGGTTTCCAGCCATCTCGTGCTGCCTGCAGCCAGCCATAGCTTTGACCTTGTGTCTTGATGTCCACAGCTGTACATCTTCTCCACCATCAGCAAGATGGGGCTCGAGGCCACCATCGGTGAGTATGGAGGCCTTCCTGCTTTTCTTTCACATACGTTTTTAAAGTTCACACAACTGGCAAGATGAAATATTAACATCAACAGGTGCATTGAGTTGGTTTAACTGGAGCACATGGTGTGGCTAAAATTGTCCCGTGTCCTTCTTTGGGTGAAGCCATCTGGAGAGGCCAGGGTCTCCTCTCCCAGCGCAAGGCCTGCCAGTCTGCGGGTTTCATTGTGAGCCGGGAGAGTGCGAGCCTGGTCCGGGGCAGTGGCCCTGGGCACTCAGTGGAGAAGCCAGAGGTGACCTTGAGGTCAGTCCCTCCTGAGGCCTCGGCGGGGCTGCAGCAGCCTGCGACCTGCAACCTGCACCCCTGGTGGTGAGAGCAACCCAGTCTAGCCCTTGGGCCACGTCAGGTAGCCAGGAACCTGGCAGTGTGACCTGAGCAGGGTCTGGCCAGGAGCCACAGCAAGTGGCCCCCCCCAGCCACCTCCTCCCAGCTTTGCCAGCTGCCCTCCAGGAGTGGTTGCATAACCTTGGAGGACTATCTTGAACACCCTGTAGGCCATGCTATCAAATTATGCCTCCAGCACTTAAAAGTATGCTTTCTGTCCTAACGAGCCAGCAGTGGGGATGTGTGTGGTCCCCTTACACATTATCCAAAAGGCAGCTTGCCCCCAGGAGAGGAAGCGGAGTTTCCTGTGACCCCTCAGGCCAGAAGCTTCCTGACCTGAGTGTGAGCCTAGAGGAGAGTTTAGGAAGCGACGTGGTCCAGGGAGAGGGTGGGAGTCTGCCCTCAGCGAGCACCACAGCAGCTGTGGGTCACGAGAGGCAGGCCTTTCTGCCGAAGATGAAGCAGGGGCCAGCCCAGGCCCGGGGTCAGGCCCAGGGTCCGGCCTGTGCTCACTCCCTCGTGGCGGCAGCTGCTGCCCTTCAAAGGTGAATGAGCCTGAGTCCTAGGGAGGGTACGATATGCTTTAGCGCCTTACTAGACAAGTTTAGAGGAAGCTGTTTCTGCTGCACCCCCTCCCTGTGCTCCCCCGGCGCCCACCTTGGGCTGCTCCCATGCATGTGGGGCTCTCCAGAGGACGCACTTCCATTCTCTGCCCCTCTGCCTCCCACAGCCATGCTGCTGCTCAGCGGAGCCCTGGTCAGTGGGCCCTACGCGCTCATCACCACCGCCGTCTCTGCCGACCTGGTGAGTAGAGCTGGGAGAGACGCTGGCCCTGTGGGCACCCCATTTGCCATTCATGACAAAAGCGGCCTCCATTACCGTTAGTAAAACCGTATTTGCAGAAGCACGTTTTTGGCAGCTCACCTACATCTGTGGTCTCCAGCCTTCCTGCACCTGCCCCCCTCCTCACGCTTCTAGAATCACGGGCAGGTTGGCGCGAAACTCACCGCTTAGCACAACAAAAGGCTCTTGGGCGCCATCCTCATGACTCAGGCGCCTTTTCACTCCAAGGGGGCAGGGGAGGGGTCCTGTCCTGGAGACCTCTGCAGAGAGAGAGGGGCCGGGCCGGGAAGAGGCGCTGGGGGATTCAGCCCTCCTCATCCAGGTACCACGCCCCACCTTGGTCACCTTTGTGTTGGGCGTGTCCTGAAACTGCCTGAGTGTGTGTGAGCATGCAGGCTTGTGTCTGCGTGGGCATGGAAAGTTCTGGAAGGATCCACATCAGACCATTAGCAGTGGTCGGCCTTCATGGGATAGAGGCAGAGGAGAGACTTTCACTTATTTTTAGACTTCAAAATACACAGGTTCTGGATGATTTTCATATTGTGTGTTCTGTTCTTTATTTTATATACGTATTACATGCATACACAAGCATTTATTTTTTTGAACGCTGGTTCATTTTTATAGTTTTAGGCTTTCAGGCATTGTTTCCCCTGATCTTTTCCCCCTCCTATTATCCTCAATTTGTGCTTTTTGCCCGTTATCTATGCAACATTTTCAAAACCGGAGCTCCTGGCGGCTGCTCACCGAGGACCCGTGCTGGCCTTGGTTTCTCGGCTGTCCCCTCCTCCCTTCTTCCCCTGGCGTTTGCTATCAATCAGGTTGAATTTCAGGTCCTGCAGAGACATCTGGCAGGGGTCCCAGGAAGGCCCTGGCTGTCGAGGAATCCAGCAGACATGTGGACGTGGCTGGGAAGGAAGGCGGGTGCTGGGAAGGAAGGCCGGTGCAGCTCAGGGCAGGGGCGCGTGTCACGCATCTTCACACCTCACGCTGGCTGCTCTGGGGCCTCAGGGAGGAGCAGGACTCTGCTGAACAAATGTTTTTTTATTTGAAGAGAATCCTAAGGTTCTTGTAACTAGAACGAAACCTTTCTGATGATTTTTGACTCTTAAAAACCCTTGAAGTTTTAACTCTCCAAGGCAAACTTGGGGTGGAGTTTAAATAATGGGAAATACCTCATGCTGAGTTGTTCTGCAGAGCAGTTCGAGTAAATGGTCATACAGAGGCTTAGGTTTACTTCTCATGCTACGGAGACAAGCTCCACATCTGTGTTTCCTCTCTTCTAGGGGACTCATAAAAGTCTGAAAGGCAACGCACACGCCCTGTCCACTGTGACCGCCATCATCGACGGGACCGGCTCTGTAGGTGCGCAGACAGTTTTGGCTCTAGGAGGTTTGGTGTCTTAGTGGAAATCACACTGTCACATGCTCGTGAACAGGTACCCAGGGTTCCAACTGCACCGCTAACATCGGGTGGGCCGGCTTCTTACAGTACGAGCGGATAGCAGGGGACACGGCGCAGGGGACACGGTCGTGCATGCCCGGGTGGCTTCAGGGAGATGCGCGTGCGACTCGCTGTGTGTGTCCAGGTTTTCACCCGAGGCAGTGGTTGGCAGACTACAGCCCGTGGGCTAACTCAGGTCCACTCATTATTTATTGCCTTCATCTCAAGAAAGGCAGGGTCTTTTTAAATTACAGAAAAACTAATTGGTCCAAAAGCATATAGGGTTCTGAGTGTTACCAGCATCGTCGAAGCTCTTGAAGAGAATTCAGTGGCATATTCTGGAATTCAAAAAGGTGGCAGAATAAGCAACCCATTCCCTTAGGGAGCAGGCAGGTGGGAACTGGCAGAGCATCATCTCCTTGCCCATGTGCAGGCTGACAGCACGGCCATGGCCTTCCCTGAGCCCTTGTACGGGCAGCACACGCAGTGGCTGTGCTGGCGGGTGAAGATCAGGAGCTGCCACACCTGCCAGGTGAAGATCAGGAGGGTCCTCCCTACATGTGGGAGGTGACGGGGGGCTGCCAGGTGTGGCTCTCACGGCTAATGACCTGGGGTGCCAACCTGGTGAGTCACTTGCTGCGTGGGGTTCTCAAAGCAGTAAAGCCCAGTGTTTGCTAGACGAAGGTGGCTCGGTAAACCCAAGTCAGCCAGAACCTGGCGCTGGAGCCTTCCCGCGGGCTCGTGCAGAGAGCCAATGTTGCTCTTGGCTGCCCGTGGCCTTGGCGTCAGCAGGCTGGAAACCACAGCACGTTTCTGGGTGTCCACTGCTATCTCAGTGATGGCAGAAGGCAAAGCCCTCCCACCGCATGGCCTCCCTGCTGCTCCTCCAGAGGCCAGGCTGGCCCCTGTGCGGGCTCTTTGCTCTGGCCATGCCCTGTGTCTGGGAAGGTCCCCAGAGGTGACCTCGTGCCACACTCCCTCATGCCTTGAGTCTTTGCTCAGATGTCATCCTGTCAGCGAGACCTCCTGGGACCACCCTGCTGAGAACGCGGGAACCCTTCTGGCCCGGCCGCCAGGCCGCCTCTCCCTGGTCTGTTCTCTGAAGCACTCTCCCCATCCGCAGTGGGATTTGGTGCGCTCCTCTGCTTCGTCTCCTCTGTCTCCCACCACTGGAACGGAAGCTCCAGGAGGATGGGATTTGCTTGGGTTTTTGCTGTATCCCAGTGAACTGAACGGGCTGCTCCCAGTTAGAATCACAGCCAGGGCCCACGCCGCTGAGTGCACAGTGAGGAGCCAGGCCGGACAGGCCCCAGGCGCCCCACCCACCCCTGGCTGGCGGGAACCCCAGCTCCACGCTGCTGCTGTTTCTGGGGCAGGGCTGGCTTCATGTGACCCACTGCCTTGTTCTGAGAAGCAGTGGGCAGGGTGGCCGTTGCTCAGAAAGCCACGCTTTGGCTTTTGCTGTTCACCAAAGTGAGACCAGACCAGGCTTGTCTCTGCCCTTAATGTTGGTTCCTTCATTTCACTGGATCCAGAGGGGCTTTGAGTGTATTGGGTGGTGGCGGTGGTCACCCCTCTGATCTTCTCTCTTGGGCATCTCAGTAGGAAGTCGGGGGACTGCAGGGCTGAGCTCGGTTCTGATTGACGTTGTGACTGCGCGGCCTTCTCTTGGCCTTGTGCCCCAGTGGCCTGCGGCCTGCGATTCGGTCTGACTCTGCTGTGAAACCCTGTTCTAAAAGCTGACTTGGCACTCCACTGGCAAAACCCCGACTGCTGCTTTAAAGCAGAGCATCAGTGTAAAAAAAGAGGGAAATCATAAACTAGGTGAAAAAACACATTTTTCTTCATATTCTTCTCAAAATGAGAGGGAAGCAGAAGTCTGTGGCTATGGGTAGGGACTCTGCATCTGTGAACAGAGGCCACTGCCCCCGAGCGGGTGGAAGGGAGGCGCAGTTCTGAATGCCTTTGGCCCACTCACAAGGAAGGTGGCACACACACCGGACCCTCTCTGGCCTTCTGTTAACCTGCACCAAGTCCTGACTGTCCACGGAGCTGCTGCGCCCACCTTGATGGCTGCTACGTTACACCAGAGGCGGGACCAGGACCCGATTCCTCCAGGCGCTACCGCCCATCAGTGCCTGCTGCCTGCTCAGTAAATGGTCACCATGGAAATGGCACTCAGGCCTGCTCACCCCCACCACCACGCCTCAGTCATTATTCCTTCCATTATTCCTTCCATTATTCCTTCCATTATTCCTTCCATTATTCCTTGAGTGCTGCCCAGCGAGACAAAGTACAGGCTCCAGTGGGAAGGCCACCATGTCAGCCACGGCCCTTCCCGAGGGAGCTGCCCGCATGCTTACTTAGTGTCACCGTCCACTCCTTGGCACTGACTCGGGTGGAGGCAAAGCATGACTAATTGTAAGTCACCCCTGCCTTCTCCCAAGTGCCATATGGTCGGTTGACTCAGTGTGCGCCTGGGGCATCTGCAGTCCTTAGAATCGCAAAGGTTGCCGTTTCTGTGCATTTCATGCAGAGCAATTAAATAGAGCGCTGCATTTTTTCAAGTTAATTTTTATTTATTAAAGTAAAACATAATGTACCTTAGAAGCCAGACAGTCCTACAAACTTATTATGTTGTACAGTGGCATTCCATCCCCCTCCCCAGCCCTCTCTGTCTAGAAGCAGCAATTTCAGCTGCCTCTCTCTGCTTACCTGTGTATGTTCATGTTTCCTGGTTCATCATCTTAACATCTCAGCTGTGCTCCTCTTACGGAAGAGGGGGCCTGGCTCCCTCCCACCCCGACATTGCCCACCCTCCTCCCCCTCAGTTATACTGGCCACACTCCTGCCCTTCACTTTCCAGCCAAGAAAGAAACTTCAATTATGCACCCTCAATAGAAACATCTTGTTTTTTCCCGGGTGAGTAAACACATCTCATCTCTTCCTCTTTTCTACATTTCCGACAAAGTTCTTCCTTCCCTGCACTGTGGTCAGCATCCTGCCCCGCCCCACCCCTTTCTTCACACCATCAGCCTCACGCCGCCCACTGTGCAGCTTTACCACGGTGCTGGGAGTCCCCCTCCTCTCTTGCCCTCAACACAGCCCTAGCAGTCTAGACCCCTGTTTACCACTCCTGTGTTGGAAACTGTCTCTTAGCTTCCGGAGTTAGGGGAGGTGCATTCTGCAAGCTTACAAGTGCACAGTGGTGTCTGGATTCTGCTCTCGCCTGAGGCATGCGGACGGAAACACCTTCTCTTCAGAACCCCTGTCTTCCAGCCCCCATTATTCTGACCCCAGCCCTTGCTTTCTGACCTTCTCTTTTTTCTCTTAGAAATCTCCAGGTTCCCTTCCTTACCCCTGGAGCCTTTCTTCATCCACTGTTCTGGGCACCTGGTGGCCCCTTCAGTCTGGAAACACCTGCTCTTCGCTTTAGGGGAATTGGGCCCCTATTCGTTTGATAAGTTTTCCTACCATTTTCTGAGTTGTTTTTTCGTTCTGGAAGACATATGTAGATGTAGGCTTTTCTGGATTAATCCTTCAACTTTCCTTTCGTTCTTTCCCTTCCTGCCCATCTCCCTGTTCTCTACTTTCTCAAGGAGATTCTTGACTGTATTTTCCACCTTTATATCGAACATTTTACTTTTCCTGCCATATTTTCAGTGTTCACTGATGTTTCTCTGCCCTTTCAGGGTATCCTGTTTTATTTCTTGTTAGACTGAATCATGTGAAATTGATGACAGGTTTTCAGCCACAAAAAAAAATGGGAGTGTCATGAGGTTCAACTTAGTCTTCTGTTGGCTCTCTGGGGGTGCTGTGAGCTCCTGGGAATATTCTCCTCCAGGATCCCTCCTACCAGCTTGCTTGCTTTCACGTTGGGGTATTCCCGAGACACAGGGCAGACCTTGGTTGCCCCTTCATCACTTCCCATGGAAGAAGGGGTCCTGCATAGTGGTTTGAAGTCTTTCTGTGGGAACAGTGTGCTGGCTGCTGGTCTCCAGGCAGAGGGACCCTGTGGAACCTGGAGGAGGTGACTCCTTCAGTGCCCAGGACAGCCTGGGTCCAGCTGCCAACATCCTTGCCGTGGCGTGGGACCATGGGTGGCTGCTTAGTGGAAGCTGGTGTCTTTCCCAGATCCCCTGTTGCCTGTTAGGTGGCATCCTTTTCCTGAGCTGGGCTTAGTGCCCCCACAGGTTAAGCTGCGCTCTCCTGCACGGGGGCATCAGGAGTCTCTATCAGCGAGGATGAGAAGAGAGACCTGGGATCCGAGGTGTGGCAGAGGGAATGTAGCTAACAGTTTGTGATAAAAGACTCAACCCATGCTCCCTTTTTCTCTTGCTGACCCCCCTTCCTTGCCCTCCCCTCCCCTGTCTCGTGTGCTCCGCTGGGCCTGACTCTGCTCCAGGTGTCCCTGTGCCATCTCCCTCTGAGGGTGCTCAGTGCAGCAGGGAACACTGGAGGCTGTGTTAGCTGTCAGCCCTTCTACGTCTGTCTTCCAAAACCACGTGCCCTTCGGTGGGAGGATTTGTCATTTGTAAAAGTCAGTGATGGTGCAGTTCGTGTTGCTTGAGAGGTGTGGAGATAACACATGAGTAGCCGACCATGTTTACCTGGAAGTTCTGAGAATTAAAAAAAAAAATACATACAGTTGCTCCTGGGATTATAAAATAGTAAGTGCACTTTGTGAACACTTGAAAAAAACGAGTGTCTAGGGCATGAAATACCCTAGTTATCTTTTCTCTCTCAGAGATTGAATGTCAGTTCATAGCTTGGTGGAAATTCTTCATGTTTTTTCTACCAAAACAGGCCATCCTACATGTTATCAGAATTCAGTTCAGTCCCTCTTGGTAAAATGCACCAGCTGCTAGAGAACACATTCTTAAACGGCAGCCCCTGGGCATTTAGGAGGATACTTTATTTTGTTTTCATCATTTAAAAAAACATTTTGACATAATTTCAGACTTTGAGAAAGTTGCAGAAATAGTACAAAGAATTCAGACATTTTAGTACATGTGGTTCATCATGCACCCCTCATGTATGTTTACACACATATATATGCACACACATGCATAATTTTTCTGAACCACTTGAGTAAAATGCACACATGTTGCCCCTTTACGCGTAACTATTCAGCATGTACTTCCTAAAAGCAAGGAATTCCATGACAGACCACAGTGCAATGGTCAGAATTAGAAAGTGAGCATTGAAGAGTATTAGTATCTACAAATCTTATTCCAATTTTACCCAGTTACATTTTTATAGCATAAGAATATCTAAGATTGTGCATTGAATTCAGATTTCCTTACAGTGTATTCAGGAACATCACGGGAGTGTTGGATGAAAAGAACGAACATTACAAGGCCAACACACATTTTTAGGATGGTTCTGGGAAGAGGCAGTGTCAGCTTTGCCTTCTCAGTAGTAAGGCGTACCGGTGGACTATCCTTATCTGAAGTGCTTGGGACCAGAAGTGGTTACGTCTTTTTATTTTTTCAGATTGTGGAATATTTGCATTATACTGGTTGAGCATCTCAAATCCCAATTCTGACATGCCCCAGTGAGCATTTTGTTTGAGTGTCAGCACTCAAGAAGTTAAGAATTCTGGAGCATTTGGGATTTCAGGTTTTCAGATTTGGAAAGCTCAACCTATACTAGACCTTTTACCTGCTCCCAGTCTGATAGGCCAGGATGAGGTAGTGTAGTTCCGTATGTGTTCCTTTCATTGTGAGTGAGGTGTTGAGCCCCATTCTGTGTGACTGCTGGTCACGTGCTGGGATTTTCTCTAAACAGCACCATGTGTGTCCATTTGTCCGATTTCAGGAGCAGCCCTGGGCCCCCTGCTGGCTGGGCTCCTCTCCCCGTCCGGCTGGAGCAATGTGTTTTACATGCTGATGTTTGCAGATGCCTGTGCCTTACTGGTAAGTCGGCCTATTTTTAGTCCAATCCACCTTGAATGCGGATCTCTGTGGTTGTGGCCAAACACTGGTGGAACTTTCTCCCGTGCGTTCCTGAGTTATCAGACAGATTTGGGTCTTCCCATCTTTTCTAAATATGCATAGTCTAAAGCCCCTTCTCTCTCTGGTTAGAAAAAATCAGAAACAGAAGCAGGACAGTCTTTGGTCTGCAGTCTTGGGCAGGATGGCACAGAGGCCAGGAGCATGGAGCTCCATGGCTCTGGATCCTGCCCGTCATTGTCACGTGTGTGCCTTGGGCGGGTTTCGTAACCTCTGCTCCACAGCTTTAAAATGGGCATGATAATGGCACCCAGTGACAAGACTGCTGTGGGAATTAAAGCAGATGATACACAGAGCCCGGCCTCCCACTGGTCATCAGTGTCCTGGTGTCCCTCCTGCAGCCATGCTTGTCAGATGGCGGGAGCAGCCCCAACTTCTTTCACCTGAAGGGATGGGAGAGAATAAAGGGGCAAAGAGGCTGTCAATGCAGACACACCAAGTTGCCTTCTGGCTTCTGCCCCCTTTTCTCTGGGCTCCTGCTTCTAGTGCCGTCCTGTGTTGAGAAAGCTTGAGGTTTTCCTCTGGGTAGGGAAGACCAGTGATGATGTCACAGTCACACAGATGTGCACTTGTGAGGGGCACATACACTTATCTTTACAAGTCACCTGGCCACAAAGTCCCCAGACCCACAGTCATGCCTCTCCTCTTGCTTCACCAGACAAAATCTTAGGCTGATCCCAATAAAAATGAGTTGAGAATTTTAGAAATATCAACTCACTCAACTAAATGAAAGTCTTATATCTTAATTCCAGGAAATTATAAAACTCAACTTCCCCACCACATACAAAATCAAATACCAACTCTCAACCTATGAATTTACTAGGTTTAAATGGCTGTTCTTTGGATCATCTGTGGGTTTTCTTAATGCCTAAACGTTCTAGTGAAGCCTCCAGATGTATTTCCACTAAGTAGCAGTAAAATTCCTGTCATTACAACTGTTCAGAGAATCTGAAATATCTTCTTCAGAAATATTCAGTAATATATATTGAAAATTGTTTTGATGCATAGCCAAACTCATAAGAAAGTAAAGGAATTCCCCAGGAGCCAGAATTGTAAAGGCAATATAAATACACAAGCTCAGGAGTCAAGGGGTTGGGGTGGTTGTGCCCACACTGGGTAAGAGACAAGGTGTTAGGCTGGCACAAGATGAGGATTTGGAACTGGAGACTTCCTCATAGAGCCAGGACCCTCGAAGAGCCATGCTTGCAGTGAAAGAGTGTATTAGATGATATCTGCACACTGGCACAGGAAGACAATGGGAATCTGCCCATCTTAGCCAGATTAAGGGAAAAAATATCCCTTGAAAATTTTTAGCCATAGACCTCCCCACAGTCAGCTTTAATCTTTGAGCTCATATAAATATGTTTAAAATGAACAAAGTTGGTCCTTAGGCAGTGATAATGCAGAAGCAGATAGGGACAAATCTCAACCCTGCAGCACAGGATTTCTGTAGCTAACCTACTTAGATTTCTTCACCCTACTAAAGATGAGCTCACAATACAAAATTATGAAACATAAGCAATCCACTTTGAATGACAGTAACAGACATAAAAAATGGTGGAATTGGACTCCCCCAAAACTGCAGATAAAAGAGTTATATAAACTAAAAATAAATATATGCAATGTTACTAATGACGTAAAGAAAAGGAACTGACCTCATGAAAGAAAGAACAAGACACTATCGAAAAGACAGAGCAGGCTTCAAAAACAACCAAACAGGAGTTATAGAAATGAAAAATGTGATCTTTAGCCTGAAAAAAAAACCTCAATGGATGGGTTAGAAAAGTAAATTAGATACAGCTGAAGAGATTACTGAAATGAAATATAGACATGAAGAAATTATCCAGAATTCAGCCCAAAAAGAGAGATGGAAAATATTAAAGAGAAATGAAATATAAAATGGAGGACCAAATGAGATGGCCTAATATTATCTGAAAGTAATTCCAGAGGAAGATAATAGACTGGGTTTGAAGCAATATTTTAAGAGAAAATAGCTGAGAATTTTCCAGATACATGAAAGACAAACATTCTTAGATTCAGGAATCAAATGACTTAGAATTCTGTACCTAGATAAACTTGCATGCAAGAGTAAGGGTGAAGTGAAAACATTTTTAACCAAAGATACTCCCAGCAAAAATTGCTAAACAGTGTATTTAAAGAAGGAAGATAGATCCAGAAAGAAAGTCTGAGATGCAAGGAGAAATGCAAGCAAAAAAGCAATATTCCTAAGGATGAATCTAAGTATTGACCATATAAAATAGGGGCCAGCTAACTGTGGCCTATTTTTGTATGATCCTCCAGCTGGGAATGGTTTATATTTTTAAAGATTTCTTTAAAAAAATCAACAAAAGAATGCGCAACAGAGACCATATGGCTGCAAAGCCTGAAATATTTACTATCTAGACCTTTACAGAAGAAGCTTTCTGACTCTTAGTTTAAAACAACAGCAATGACGACTAATTTGGGCAATATAAAAAAGAACTGAAATACTGAAAATGTAAAGTACAAGTGGGACAATCAGAGTTCCAGCACACCACAGTTCTTATATTGTCAAGTCAATAGCAATAGAATGTGTAACCTTCCAGGCAATACAGGGAAATGAAGATTTATCCAAGAGAACCTAGGGTCGGGGGAAGCATAGGAAAAGCAGGGTAAATAGAGAAATACATAGCGACATGGATGAAAATGATCCCAGCATACCAGCAACACAGTAACTATAAATGGACTAAACTCATCAGTTAGAAGCAGAGACTGTCAAGTTGCTTTTAAAAATACAGGCACTGGTTATTTACAAGAAACACACCTGCTACACTGGAATTCCGAAAAGACGAAAGTAAAAGAATGGGAAAGTACACGACAGGTAAATAATAACCAGAGGAGGGTGGATTTGTTGCACTGGAAGAAAGAGACCTAAAGCAGAGGCACTTGGGAGATGGGGTCTTGTAGTGGAGAAGAAACTGAACCAGGATGTGCAGCAGGCCGGTGAGCTTGAGTTGAGCCTTTCAAACCTAAGAAATAGACACCTTTTTCTCTTCCCTGATCAACATGCTTTCTGGTATCTTTTCACCAAAATAGACAAGTGTTTCCTCCCAAGTCTGAGGCTGAGAACCTCCATGATCTGAGCAGGTGTCCTGGGGGGCCAGAGGACACCATGCTTCCTGCCTCACCGTGCACACTGATGGCCAGCTCCAGGGCCTGCAGGACTGCCTGGGCACACAGCCAAAGTCCTCAGGTCTCCAGTATGCACTGGGCTCCTGAAGTTGGCAGGGCCCCTCCTTGTTGGTCATTCTTGCATGTGTGAGCCAAGCACACGGCATGTTTTGAAATCGGATCTCTGTTCTTCAGAGCTGTCACTATTTACAGTTCATCCCATACCCACAGATAACACTTGCTACTACATTCTTCATCTTTTTTTCTCTGTCTTAATGATCGGCTTTTCATAATCATAGGTCTCTTCGGGCTAGCACTTTTCACACATCACACTTGGTAGGATGTAGATGTGGGTAAGGTACCAGCTCAAACACGACAAGCCTGTGCCAGTAATTGCAGCTAGCGGTTCAGATACACACAGATGGATTTATTTAACAATAACCTTGCTCTTGCCACCAGCACTATTGTTGGTACCTGCCGTGTTCCCACGACCTTTACCAACTAATTATCGCAAACACCTTTCATGTACCAAGCAGAGCAGCTGGATGCATCTTATCTGTAGAAGGGGCTCCTGTTCTCTCCAGCTTGAACTCACCTCATATGAGGGACTTCTAAGTTCCTACTCAAACCATAAGGATCTAAGAAAATAGAAGAGTTTCTGCCCTTCTAGAGCTGTGGCCTGAGGCTTGGGGGTGGGGCCGTGGGTTTGGTTTTTAAGCAGCCCCTGGAGACTGTCCTCCAGCACCCCTTCCCCGCCTCCCCTGGCCCAGTGATCCACCCTGGGTCTGAGGGCATCTGTGGCCCTCTAAGAGTGAGGGGCCACGTCCAGGGAGAGTCCTCCTGTGGGCTGATATCACACTGGGAGAGACTGGATCCACACTGGAAAATGCAGACACACTAGTTAAATTAGGGATAGCACAATCATTTGTCTGGATTTGGAAGCTGATGTTGAGCCCTCGAACATGTGAAAGGCACAGAGTTAAAGCCCTGGGTCTGGAGAGGAGCTCAGGCTGAGGCAGCGATATTGGTGGAACAGCCCTGGCCCCCGGCCAGGCCTGGCCTCCGAGGGGCTCCCAGTGGGGTGCAGCTGTCCTGTGGCAGCCTCTTCAGACCCCAGGACTGGCGTCGGAGGAGATGCTCACCTGGCTTTAGAGTCGCCTGAGAAACTCGCAGGTCCACCCCCTGGGCCACCAGCATTGTGGTCCTCTTGTCTTTATTTTCTTTTTCCCACTGTGGACATTTTATGATTGAACTGATTTTATTCTAAACATGACTTGACCCCAGAACTGGTTCAGGCTGCATCTTTCCCAAAAGCCTTGTTTTCAGGGCACCTCCTGGTTCTTCGTGGGCCCTCATCAGACAGCCCTGCCCACAGGAACCAAGGCCTCGGGCTCAGTATGCAGGCCCCACTGCTCTTGCAGGGAGGTGACCCCAGGGAAGGTGCTGTGGGGAGAGAACCACCTGCCTGAGTCTTGCGGGCTAGGTCCTCACGGTGCCCACAGCGCGGGCTGCCCTGTGCCTGCCCCAGTGACGGGTGGGCTCACCTTTGTTTTGGTGCAGTTCCTGATCCGCCTCATACACAAGGAGCTGAGCTGCCCAGGGTCAGCGACGGGGGACCAAGTTCCGTAAGTCCCAGCTCGGGCCCTGTCCCCGTGCGTGAAAGCCAGCTCCAAGGCGCCTTCTGTCCTGTCTGCCTTCCGCACCTGGCTTTCCCTAAAAGAAAGAAAACACATGGCTAATCTTTTCACGGCATGCCACCTTCACTCCTGCTTTTTCTTTTCTAATAAATACCTCTGTTTGGATGGGTTGGTGGTAATCTCTCCTCAAAACCTGGGTGGAAAATGAGAGGGAACTGCCGTCTTTGGCATTCTGTTGGAGGTGCAGCCCCCCGAGCTCTCCTTGCCTTCCTGCTCTCCCCCTTCTCCCTCCTCTTTTCCCTCCCTCCTTGGTCCTCCCTCCCTCCCTTCTCTCTCCTTCCTGGCCCCCAGGAGGTTGTGGGAAAGGTGCAAGGGTTTATCTAGCATCCAGTGCCCCATAGGAGACAAATCCCTGCTGGGCCTGGAGGGCAGCCGGCTCCCCAGAGGATTTGCATGTGGTGTGTGAGGTTCAGCATCTCTTGCTGAGCCACTGCTGGCTGTTAGAGCAGGTGTTCTTTCATCCTTTCTTTCAGATTTAAGGAACAGTGACGCCCCACCCCCGGTCCCGTGGAGGGGGTCTGGGCCCACCCTTCACAACTGCCTTTCAAGGACAGTTTAGATAAAGGGCCCTGCACAGAAAGAGTGACTTCCCTTTGCCTTTTGCACACGCACCTGGAAAAGACACAGAAGCCAACCTGAGAACTCCTGGTGCTATTTTAAACGAGACGTAGAGCTGAACAGCAGTGAGAAGAGTCTGCGGGAACTGCTGCCTGAGCCGAGCCAGAGAACCGAAGACCCGGCCAAGCCTGGCCTTGAAGGCGTGTGCCCATGCAACCACCTAAATGCACGCGTGACAGCCAGGCCGGGTGGGTGTGGGGTGCACAGGTAGCCTCGACCCTCTCAGGCATGTCAGCCACAGAACATCAAAGTGAGCGAGTGCCACGCTGGCTGTGGCTTCAGAGAACCTGAATGTGCCATGTGGAAAAACAGGACACCACAGCCCACCAGACAGCGCCGGCCAGCAGAGAAGCAGAGAGCAGGAAGGCTGACAACCTGATCGGAAACCAAGACGGAGCTCAGACCTACATCACCCCAGAGGCTTTTCTAGCACCCCTGATGTTCCGGACTGACCTGAAAACTAATTGTTGAGAAGCCAAGGGTGAGCAGGCAGGAAGCACCTCCACTTGGAGGCACCCAGGCGTGCCAGCCACAGAGTGCCCCGAAGTCACCGTCATCCCAGCCCCTGGCATTCCTGGTGCCCTCCGAGGCCTCAGTGCTGCTGTTCAGCTCGGGGCACAGGGGCATGGCAGAGGCTTGGGAAGCGGCCTCCCCACCGGCGCTGGGATTGGCGGGTCCAAGCCCAGCAACTGGCTTCACTCCACGACACACCACACCTGGGACTGTTTTTAATACATAGCAACAGAGTGGGTTATTTATTTAAGATGTGTATTGTGTCATATGAAGTTTAAGAAACATAAATGGCATTTTGTTATTTATTAAGACAAACTCCAATTGTTCTCTGGCCGTTTTTTTCAGTCGTGTCTAGCAAAATACTTATCTGCCCTTTGAAATAAAATGTTTTTGTTAAAAAAATCTCAGAACACTCAGAGAATGTTGATGATTTCTGCTCACATTTCCATTACGCTGCAAAAGGGAATTTCCAAATCGTGTTGTGTTTTGGGTTTTCTCAGGTTTGGACATTCAGGATTTTGCGACTGAAAATCCATTTCCAGCAGGAAAGGGGCTACCTCTGGGGCCCTTGTTTGCACAGAAGGCCAAGCTGAGGCCCCAGTAAGCAACCATCTGGATGTTTTCTAAATCACACAGTTTAAAGAATATCCTAGGATTTGTCCTTGACTAGGAGATGTCACACCCAGTGGCGGTGGGGAAAGATGCTGCACTTGGGAACTGCATGGCGGGGTCCAGGCTTTCAAACGCCCTTCCTAGAACCCTGGCCGTCCAGATGTGCATGGTGCAGGCTTTCCCCGGATGGAGTGCTGTGGGAGTTCATCTGGGGACCCCTCACAGCAGCAGGGCAAAGGTCAGAAACCACACACTGGGTGTCCCGCGGTTCTCAGGGGCCTCCTGCCCAAGCTCTGCAGAGAAGCCCATAGGAGCAGCAGACCTGGCTGTGGGGGCTTCTGCGTGCCACTGCCCCACCTGATTGGCTCACTCTTTTTAATGGCAAGTTATTTATACATTTAAAAACTTTCTGCTAAAAAAGAAATTCTCTAAACACCAAATGGATGGAGTGTGTTTCCCACAAACGCAGTGCGCTGGCCTTTCCCGGCCCCCACCGAGTGCTTGCCCCGCCTGGACACAGGTTCCTAGGAGCCTCCCGCTTTCCCTCTCTCCCTGACCTGGCTCCAGGCACCAGTCTAGCCCTCTCCCGCTGGCGTCACAGTGGCCTGGGCCACCCTGAGCCCCTGCCGGCTGCCATCACTGAGGGCGGGCACCAGCCCCGTGCTTGCCACAGGGCACCTCTTCCCTCTGGGTATGCAGTGCTGGTATCCATGGGGTGAACAAGCGAGGGACGAGGCAGATGGCACAGTATCATTACAGAATGCACAGAGGGCTTTTTCCATAAACAAAATGCTTTGCGTTCACTGCCCCCCTGCCTCCCCAGAACTGTACCCTCTGAGGCCTCATCTAGTCAGAGGCCCAGGGCGGGTGGGCCGGAGCAGACCCTCCTCACCCCATAGCCACCAGCCAGCGTTCAGCCAGTGTTCAGCACAGCAGCCTTGAGGTGGCCATCGCTGTTTCCCCATCTCAATGAACTAAAGTACTGGAAGAAAATCTCCCACAACTCACAAAGGAAAAGCAATTTCCCATTTCTGAACCCTCTAAACCCCGAGAATGCCTTTGGAAATGGAGAGTCGATCCTTTTTTTAAAATGAAGAGTATACACACAGCTATTTTTTTAAAGCAATTTAGCGGAAATTCACCTTGATTCATCAATGGAAGATTTCATCATGACTTTTAAGAAAAAAAGTACATGCTTTCAATATAAAAATACATCCTCATTTGAGCATAGCTGGGGTCTTCTCCATCTGCAAACAGCCAGCTCTGAGACACACACACACTTGCCATCGTGTGGAGGCGTGGCTCTGCCCATCACACACGTGTGCACCTGCCATCGTGTGGAGGCGTGGCTCTGCCCATCACGCACGTGTGCACCTGCCACCGTGTGGAGGCATGGCTCTGCCCATCACGCACGTGTGCACCTGCCACCGTGTGGAGGAGTGGCTCTGCCTCTCACACGTGCACCTGCCATCGTGTGGAGGCGTGGCTCTGCCTGTCACGTGTGCACCCGCTGTCGTGTGGAGGCGTGGCTCTGCCCGTCACACATGTACCTGCCGTCGTGTGGAGGGGTGGCTCTGCCCGTCACGCACGTGTGCACTTAGTGCACATCACTAAGACTCTCCTATTCATGTTGACGAAAAATGCCAGATGATGGAAACACAAGCTGGCTACAGGGCCAGTGAAAGAGCTCAAGGTGGGACTCCAGCTCTCCAGCCTGTCTGTAGGCAGGAAAAACTACTCCTGGAAGCTCACTTCAGTGAACGCACCTCACAGTCCAAGAGCTGCCGGGAGTACAGGTGCCTGGTGGCTCCTGTACTGTGCGTCTCAGTCAGACCAGAGCCAGCCTTCCTATCACCAGCTTGTAAAATCCAAGAAAACTAAGTTGCTTGATAAACTATGAACTGAAAAAAAAATGAGCCCTGATTTTTTATCATTCAATTCAACAGACATAAAAACCACTCTGCTAAATGGCCACAGGACCACTCCGGTCTCACCTCAGCAAAGCACAGCTGGGCCAGGTGAGAAGCAGGTGCGACGGCACTGTGTCCCTTTCAGGCTGTGCCCACAAGGCACCCAGGCTCTCCCCCACGGGGCTCCGATGCACCAGGCCACCTCCCTTCCCAAGGCTCTGCATTGACCCACAGTCTCTGCACAGGACACCCCAGGTCCCTGGAGGGCAGTAGAAGAGGCTGTAGCACTGGCTGCCAAGGCAGGGGCAGCTGTCAGGGCCACCAGAGACCACAGGCCGTAGGCAGGTCACTTCCCAGGGTGGGAGCACAACCTAGGCCCATCCTGGGGAGGTGGTGGAGTCAGAATCACGTAAGAACCAAGGTTCCAGTCCCTCAGTGCCGGCTCCATTGTCCCCTGGACTTCCCTTACAAACCACAGACGCAAAGAGAGCACTTCTCAGAATCTCCACACAGCCACAGTGGGGCACTCAACCCACGTGACCCTTCGGGGCACAGGTGCCTGGTGACTGCACTGGCCACGTGCCCTGTGGCCCCACAGAATGACACCTCATCCAGGATGGAAGCGGGAACTGAAGGCCTGGCTGAGAGACCCCAGGGGCCTGAGTCGGGAGGAGCGATGGTGCATTTGGAATCTGGTGGTGCCCCTCACTGAGTCTGGGTTAACTGCCACCACGCAGGCTTCCCTGTCCCATACGTTCCAACATGCCCTACCCCTGAGAACAGATCCAAGGGCCTCTGGAGAATGCAGTTCTGAGCTGCTTGCTCATTCTGAAGCCAGCTCTTGTTGCTGGCCCCTTCCCAAGGGGGCCTGTGAGCTCCAGACATGGGGATGATGTGGGGCATGGGCCACCGTAGCGGTGGCCAAGTGCAGCATGTTCCCCATCACACTGCTTGGGAGCTGGAATTTAACTCCAGCTGCTAAACACAGGCGGTGTCTCTGGCACCCAGGGCAGGACGCCAGGGCCTGACCCTCCCAGGAGAGTCCATCATTGCTGAGCCAGTTGCAGGCCACCCTGAAGCATCATCCCTGGGCAGCAAGTGGGATGCAGGGGCACAGCAGGGCACATCCCAGGCAGCTGGGAAGGTCCACGGAGAGCAAGGGCAGGGGCATGTGCCATCGTCAGAGACAGTCAGGGTGGGCGGCACCCTGGGCTGCTGGGAAGGACAGTGGGGGAGAGTGGAAGGCAGGGGAGCCCTTGCCAGTTGAGAATTTCTTGATCTTTGGAATGGGTCCCCGACACCCTCCGGGACACACTTAACAATGGTCAGGCCTGGAAACTGAAAGAGGCGATCGAGGCAAATATCTCAGTCAACCGAGGTCTATTCTGCCAGCTTTAGGGCATGTCCAGGAAAAATGCAAGCCACAGACACATCTGTGGCTGTTTTTCTAAAGAGGCTTTCAAGAGGTGTGGTATTTAGACATTGAGGTAAGGTGAATGGTGACATTCCTGTGAGCACCCAGTAAATCTGCATTTCACATAAGGTAAATGTTTGAAGAGGAAAAGGGAGTAAAGGAGGAATCCATTTTGCAGACTTCTCTGGGGAGGTGGAGGAACACTTGATCTCGTCTTGTCTTTGGCCTGCCACTGGGAGGACAAGCCCTTAGAGCACATTATCAGCATGGAATGGAACAGACTCTCGTTTTAGGAGCTGGACTTAGATTGCACACCTAAAGTTATGATTGGCATGTCCTTGTTTATGGGAGCCCAGCAAAGAATATACTGATGAAAGATCTGTGGGGGCCCTTGGAGATGGCTGTGGGCTCCACCTTTCTGTGGTGACCTGGCTGATGCATCCTGCTAGTGACAGCTGTCCATACGGACGCAGTGTTGCATGACCCAGACTCCAGGCTTAACCTTCCCTTTGGCGTAAGAAGTTTGGGCATTCTGTGATTTTTATGTTTCTTTACACGCCCTCAGCCACTTTTTTTTTTTTTTTTTTTGAGACGGAGTCTCGCTCTGTCACCAGGCTGGAGTGCAGTGGCACGATCTCAGCTCACCGCAACCTCCGCCTCCTGGGTTCAAGCAGTTCTCATCCCTCAGCCTCCCATGTAGCTGGGATTACAGGCACCTGCCACCACACCCAGCTAATTTTTGTATTTTAAGAAGAGACAGGATTTCACCATGTTGGCCAGGCTGATCTCGAACTCCTGACCTCATGATCCGCCTGCCTTGACCTCCCAAAGTGATGGGATTACAGACATCAACCACCACACCCAACCAGCCAGGCCAATTTTTGACCAAAACAGGATCGGTGAGTGGATGTCATGTGTCATTTGGGCCAACAGTGAACATGGACTTTGAAGGCATCTTGATCCTGAATATTCCATTCCCTTCTTCCTCAACTTGGTAATAACCAAGACGGTTCTATCTCTTTGAAATTCTAAAATAAGGCAGGCACTGGACATTCTGTTACTGTTAAAATCCACACCCTGCCTGCCTCTAAAAGGAACTTGGAGTGGAGATGCAGAAAAACGGCATGTGCGTTTAAGGAGTCCCTGCACCCTGCGGTGCAGCAGCAGCCACACCCAGACGTCCTGGAGCCCAACACGAGGATCTAGTGGCTCTGGGGGAGCAGACTCTCCCGGTCTCAAGGGCATTTTTTTTTTTTTGGAACTGAGGTGACATTCACATAACATACAACTAATCATTTCAAAGCATACAGTTGGTGGCGTTTGGGGCATTCACAGTGTTGTGCAGCCACCAGCTCTCTCCAGGTCAACACGTCTTATCACCCCAGAAGATCACTCGAAACTGGTAAGTGATTGCTCCCCTTCCCCTCCATTTAAAATGAGAGTTTTCAAGGAGACTGGC